AAGCATGAACAATAACAAACAGATGCAAGAATGTAGGAAGGGGATTGTTAGACAATATTAATTATGGTAGTAGTACTATTTTCTATATATATTGTGATGTACTCTTCTCCACAGAAGTGTCCTTCAATCTACCCATTTGTCAATATGGTATCAGAGCCTGGGTAACGGAACCCCGTCTTTGTCTCTTCTTTTTTTTTCGATCGTCTCTGAATATTGATCGGCCATCATCATCATCTCATCTCATCATCATCATCTCAATTATTATCATCATCTTCATCTTATCATCGGCCAGCAACAGTACTCCCTTCCCTTGGTCAAATTTTTCTTTTGCGATTGGATAAATTGGCCATCAATCTTTCTACGGTCATTACCGATCATCATCGATCAGTCCAGCTTCTTCTTCCCATGTGTTCGGTCATTGCTTATCTCGGTTTTGAGTATCTCCACCGCGCGCAGCCACGGATCAGCATCTCCAGGGCTCTTATTCAAACATGGTGACCGGATCACCTGAGACAGATCCCTTTGATTTGCTGCCAGGAGGTTTGCGACTTTTCCTTCGCAACTTGCACTCTCTTGTTCCTATAAAATTAGATGACAGCAATTATCCGTCTTGGTCATCGACCGTTAAAGCTACACTTCAGGCACACCGTCTCTTTGGATATGTCGATGGTTCTATACAGGCTCCTACGCCAACTATTCTGGATGAAAAGGCACCTGTCAGTGCAGACAAACAGCCGGTTCTCAAACCAAATCCGGCCTATGATCAATGGCTTATTATTGATGCTCAACTTCGTGCATCTCTTCTTGCTCTCCTTTCCCCGACCATTCAGAATTTGGTTCATCTTTGTTCCTCTGCTGCCGAGATTTGGGATCATCTACATACACGTTATAATTCTCTGTCCCGTACTCATATATTTCAACTCAAGGAGCAACTCAACAACCTTCACAAAGGGCATGATTCAATGCAAAAATATTTAGACTCGGTGCTTGGAATTAGGGGTGGGCACGGATCGGGACGGTCCAGATTTTAGGTTGTTCCGGTCTTGTCCCGTTATATATAAACGGTCCGGAACAGTTCGGATTACAATCTTATCCCGGTTTGTCCCATAAAATTCGGGATCGGAACAAACCGGGACGGATTCGGGTCGTCCTACTTTGTCCTAATCCCAAATATAAGAGGGGGGTACTCAATCCAAAAGTCACAAAATGTCATAGATAAAAGTCATTAACTTCCTAAGACATCCAAAAACTAGTTGTGTTCATATACACCAAGCAATTAGCTACTGTCATTCAAAAAAACAAAAGCAGTAGGTAGTATTGCAGTAGCCATCCAGCAAAAAAAGAAAGGCAGTAGGTAGTAGCCATCCAGCAAAAACCAAAAATCAGCATTTAGATGATCAGTGAGAATCATGGTAGTTAATCAATTGGGCCAAATAAATTTAATAAATTTTGGGTTGAAACTTGAAGTTAACTTAATTAATTAAAGAATGAGTGTATAGAATTAGAATTATATATTAATAAAATAGATAAAACGGGACAAACGGGACGGATCGGTATAAATTTAA